CCTGTCCTGGTACTCGCTCTGGAGACCAGGCTGGTCTTGAACTCACAGAGGTCCGCCTGCCTCTGCCTCCCGGGTGCTGGGATTAAAGGAGTGCGCCACCAACGCCCGGTGGCCCTATATTTTTTTTAAGATTTGTTTATTTATATTTTAGAGCCAGGGTCTCACTATGTAGCCCTAGCTGTACTGGAACTCACAGAGATCCTCCTGACTGTTGGATTAAAGGATTGTGATACCACACCTGCCCATAAATCACTTCTTTAAAACCTCCATTTGATGGAGGGAGGACCAAAGTTAAAGGTCTGACTCCAGGCCACACAGCTGACAGGAGATGCTGGGTTAGGATGAACTCAGGGCCTTGTGCATGCTTGGAAAGTGCTCTGCTACTATCACAGAGCCTTACCCCAGCCCTCTTCTGTTGTATGTTGTCGTGGTTTGGGAGGGAACCGAAATGATGCAGTCCTGAGTGCTGGCCCCTGCCTGCCAGACACACGCCTGCATTAACAGGGGACCACAGCTCAGAAGGGGAACCAGACCTATCATCAGAGAATCCTTGGGCACCAGGAGACACAACCTTCCCCCAAAGAATCTGGGTTCATGAGGAGGGTGGGCAGGTGCCCAGCCTCGCAGGCCCATTCTTCAGCTGGGCATAAATGAGCATCTCTAATCCTACCCCTCTCTCTTTCAGACACCACAGGGCACCCCGAAAGGTAAGCTTCCAGAAGGGACATGCGGCCTCTTGTGCCCTCTGGTGGCCAGAGTTGGGATGGCTGGTGAGCTGGAGGAGCCTTAGTGCACTTACCGATCAGAAAGTTTTGGGGCTGACGCCCTGGGCCAACCTGCCCACATACACACTCTGTGACATTGTCTCCAGCTAGCTAGCCTCTGGCTTAACATCTGTAAAAAGTCACGCCTGTCATCCCATCCCAGTGCCAAGTTCACTAAAGCAGGAGGATCCCCGGCTCAGCCTAACCAGTGAGCTTCAGGGCTGGGAGGTGGTGCAGTGGTCGAGCAGACCACCTGAGTTCGGATCCCAGGTTCAGGCAGCTCCCAAGCACTTATGTAACTCCAGCCCCAGGGGACCTGACTCCAAGCACAGAGAGGCACATACACACCTAATTAAAATACAACAAGCAGCCAGGCGGTGGTGGTGCACGCCTTTGATCCCAGCACTCGGGAGGCAGAGGCAGGCTGATCTCTGTGAGTTGAAGACCAGCCTGGTCTACAAGAGCTAGTTCCAGGACAGGTGCCAAAGCCACAGAGAAACCCTGTCCTGAACCCCCCCCCAAAAAAAAATACAACAAGCTTAAAAAATACCCAAAAGGTGGAGAACAACCGCAAGACATGGGTGTCTCAGCTTCAGGCTTCTGTATGCACATGCGTGCTTGTGTACACGCCCTCATGAGTAAGTATACATATCACACACACATAAAAACAGAGAGAGATTGCCAGGCAGTGGTGGTGGGCACCTTTAATCCCAGCACTTGGGAGCCAGAAGCAGGCAGATCTCTAAGTTCAAGGCCAGCCTGGTCTACAGAGTAAGTTTCAAAAATAGAGATATATAAATATTATATATTTATGTACATATGTCTTATATATAAGAACACTTTTTAAAAACAGAGTCTCACTGGTTGGTGGTGGTGCAAACCTTTAATCCCAGCACTTGGGAGCCAGAAGCAGGCGATCTCAGTGAGTTCTAGGCCAGCCTGGTCTACAAATCAAGTGCCAGGACTGTTATACAGAAAAACTCTGTCTTGAAAAACCAACAAACAAAAAACCAGACTCTTATGTAGCCAGGCTGGCTGTAGATTTACTGTGTAACCAAGGATGACCCTGAACTCCGCCCAGATTCTCCTGAGTACTGGGAAGACAGTGCCAGTATGCCATTTTGTTTGGTGCCAGAGATGGGACCAGTGATTCCTACAGGTCAACAGAGCACTGTGCCCATTGAGCAAACCACGGCTCTATTTATTTATTTTTGAGGCAAAGTCTCTACAAGCCCAGGCTGTACTGCAGCCCACTATGTAGACCAGGCTTTCTTTGAACTCACAGACACAGACACAGACACAGACACAGACACACACACACACACACACACACACACACACACACACACCTCTGGCGTGCAGCACCATGCCCAGCCCATGTTTTTAAGATCTCTGTTGAGCTTGTGTTTCCTGCCCAGCATGGCATGGCTGGCGATATGGCCCTAGGACTCTCTGCCCCAATTTGCTGTTAATTATTCATAGGGAGAGTCTCCCAGTCTTGCTGTCAAATTAAAAATTAATAATTAAAAGACAATCCATGCAGGCCTCTTAGGGATTTTGTGAAAGTCATTTTGAGCTGAACAATGGGATCTGTGGGTCTCAGCTGGGCTAGCTATGGGGTGAGGGGCCATGGGCAGATGTGGTATTTGGGGTACAGGTGCATGTGCTGGGGGCCTGGGGTGCAGGTACAGGTGTTGGGGTGGGGTGCAGGTGTTGGGGTGGGGTGCAGGTGTTGGGGTGCAGGTGTTGGGGTGTAGGTGTTGGGGTGGGGTTCAGGTGTTGGGGTGGGTGCAGGTGCATGTGTTGGGGGTCTGAGGTTTCAACTGAGTGTGCCAGGGATTCTGGGGTTCCAATACATGTTCAGAAGAGTCTGAGTGTTTAGACCATATGCTGGTCTGGCCATGGCTGTAAATGAGGTATATTGGGGGTCTGGATTCATGCTCATGGAGGGATGTTTTGAGGGGATCCTTCCGCCTTTTCTCTGACTCTGTCTTTCTCCACCCTGTGCCCGGTGCAGAGAATCGCATGTCCTCCACGCCGGTGCGGACTCCGGGAGGATCCACCATGATGAAGGCAGGTGGGTCAGCCCCCATTCCCCACCCTGGTCTAGCTGCCATCTGAGACTCTATCTGAGTCTGGGTGGTGAGGCTGGCAGGGTGGGGTTCACCCAGACCTCAGACCTCGGTACCCATCTGCTTTGCTCTGACACACCCACCGGCCCATGCTTCTCCGAGAAGACGGGCCCAGCATGGGAGCTCTAACCCAGTGCCCCTCGGCTTCCATTCCTAACCTCAGCCTGGGGACCCTGGCTGGCATACAGGCTGAACATGCTTCCACACGCCTGAACACGCTTGTGTTACATCCTGCCTGCTCCAGGGGTCCCGGCATCACACTGACCTCATGTGGGACCTGGTGTGTTCTGTACCAAAACCCAGAAAGACTAGTTGATGACTAGCCTAGACAATGTCCTGGGCGAGGGAGGGCCACAGGAGGCATAGAATTTCCTGTACAGAGTTCAAGTTCAGTAGGCTACACACGTTTCTTAATTCAGAAGGTGCCTTCAAGAATCGCTGTAGTAACACCAGACGTGCCTGCTCCCATCCCCCCATATCCCTTCAGTCTGTGCTCTGTACTGTCACAGCCTGGCCAAGTAAGCAGGCTGCCTTGCAAGTAGGCATGTAGGTACAGAGACAAATGATTAACTAACGATCAGGTATTTGTTCAACAAATGCTTAGGAAGCCAGTCACGGAAGAGGGGGAGTTGGTATTCTGGTGGGTGCAAGTGGCTGTTCAGTGTACCTGGTGATGAACAGGAAGAAGTGATTTTTAGGGCCCTGACGCTGCACGGAGGACCACAGGGCTTACCCACTCAGCCACATGCTTGCAAGTGCCCTCTGGTGGCTGTACGGAGAACAGACCTAGGGCTGAGGTGACCACTGGACCAGGGAACCATGCTGGGTCCCAGCCTGGGTGGGTGGGGTGCTGTGTGGGTCAGCAGGGGAAAGTTCTAGATGTTTCTGGAGGTGACCATGAAAAGGCCCAGCCAATGGGGATAGACATCAAGCTTCAGTGGAGGCCTGGGACCCCTCTCTGGTTCAGTGTGAAGTCAGCTTGGGATACTAGAGGAGGCGTGTTGGTGGGCATATGGTCAGTGCCTGGGCAACTGCTGTTAAGATTCATCTCATGGGGCATGGTGGCGCACACGTTTAATCCCAGCACTCGGGAGGCGGAGGCAGGTGGATCTCTGTGAGCTCGAGAAGTCTGGCGACTCAGCAGCACACAGTGGACAGACACAGGTCCTGGATATTAGCATGGGCTGTGGGTTCTGAGCAGAGTGCAGACTTGAACCCTTGACATCAGGAGCTATGGAAAGGGGTGGGGTGGAGAAGGCTGCATCTGGGTGGTGTGCCCAGTGTCCCCAGAGTGACTGTCATCACTGCTTGGCTCTGCTGCTACCTGTCTTCCCTGGCTTGGCCATAGCCCAGTGGGGGGCACCTGAGGGTAGATGGAATGTGGGGTAACCCCGTGCCTCTCATGTCAGCCATGTACTCGGTGGAGATCACGGTGGAGAAGGACAAGGTGACCGGGGAGACCAGGGTGCTGTCCAGCACCACACTGCTCCCCCGGGATCCACTCCCTCAGGGCGTGAAAGTCTACGAGGACGAAACAAAAGGTATGAGAAGCCAGGCCTGCTACAGGGGCAACCAGCAGACCCAAGGTCGCCCCACCCAGCCCTTTCTCCTAGCCTGGTCAGTCATTCAGAACCTGGGTAGTGTGCTGATCATATAGAGGCAGTTTCAGCCATGGCAGAGCTCATGCCTGCCACTCAGAGAGCTGGGTGAGGAGGGAGCTTCTCAGAAGCCCACAGCTGCAGAGCCAAGAGAAGGGAACTATGCACCTGGCAGGGGCCACAGCTTGTGCAAAGGCCCCGAGGCACATTGAAGGAGGAGGGACTGTGTCCTGAAGGCGACTGGGTGGCCTGACTGGATGGGTTTTGGGAGGTATAGAAGAGATCGGATTTTATGTGTCTGTGGTTCTGGAGATGGAAATCAGGGCCTCTAAAATGCTAGGCAAAGGCTAACAACTAAGCCACGCCCCAGCCTTTCACTGGTGGATTCTAGGTAAGGGTGCTATCCTGACCACACCCCCAGTACCTCACTGGAGGATTCTAGGCAGGGGCTCCACCCATTACCATACCCTCATCCCCTTCACTGGGGGTTTCTAGGCATACGCTCCACCCCTGACCATACCCCCAGCCCTTTACTGATGGATTCTAGGCTGTTATTTCCAGCTTTCCTGGCTGGTTTTATAGGTGTTTTCCAGGACTCAGCCGTGGGAAAGTCATCTTGAGGAAACTAGGGTTCATCTAATCAGGGATGTTTTTAACAGGAGCCATAAAATCAAACTGGTCCCCATTCCATCCTCCTTTTAAGAAATAAATACATATCCTGTAATTCTCCTTTTTTTTTTTTTTTTTTTTTTTTTTTTTTGTCCATGATGGTAGCATCTTTCATTCCTAAGAAGGGACACTGTTCATAGAGCAGTGACCTCACACCAAAACACCTAACATGGAGATGGCTCACAGGTGTCAGAGGACCAGGACACAGCCCACACTAGTGACAGTGCTGCTTGAATTGCAGGCCACAGTAGCCACACATCCCCGTTTTTGTCTCTTTGTCCAAACTTATGTACACCTTGGGGTGGCCCAGGGCACCACCACCTCCATCGCAGGCTATGACCCGATTGTCCACCTCATTCACGGGCTGCTCTGCTATCAAATCAATGGTGAAGTTTTCATTCACCTCTTTCTGACGATCTACAAACCGAATCCTCCTGTAGTCTTTTTCATCGTAAACCTGGCTGGTGTGCGTGATCTTCTCCCCGCTCGGCGACACTCGCACCCCAAAAGCCAGCGCAGCCCTAAGGAGAGCCAGCAGCGGTCAACGCCGCTGCCATCTTCAATTCTCCTTTTTACTGTTTGTATCTACCACACCGGGTCTCACCCCAGCTCCCATGCACTTCCCTTCTCTGGATTGGGCTGTTTTGGGCATTTCCCATCATGGAATCCCACACTGTGGCCTTTTGTGTCTGGTGTCTCAGTGAGCAGTGTCCTAAAGGTCCCTCCATGCTATGGTGTATGAGAGCCTCACTCCTTTTCTTGGCTGCATGATAAGTCAGGGTGTGAGGGGACCGTGCTCTGTATGTTTGGTACTGGGCATGTTTTTGTGTGAACACATACCCATGTCTCGGGTATGACTGGAGTAGGACTCGCTGGCTCCGATGGATGTGACTCTGTTTATGAAGGACACTGAGGCTGATATCTGTTGCCCTGTGCCACTCCCAAAGTGGCTGCACACGTCTCACCCTCTGCCCTTCCTTCCACCGTCTCTTTGGTCTCTCTGGGGACCCAGAACCAGCTAGACTGGACCCCGGTTGCTTAGCAACAGCCGGGGATCTGTTTCTTTGGCTACTGTATTCTCATCTTGGGAGCCTAGGCCCAAGAGAGAGATTGGACCCTGCCCTTCACCCCCAGTGTCACCAAGAGGCCAGACACAGGAACTCCTCTTCCAGGGGGTGGTAGCCCTGACCCTTCCCTGGATCCTGGGGCCACCCTGTCTCCTACCCCTCGGTCTAGGATTCCGGAGGACTTTGCCAGGCTGAGATCCAGGAGTACTTTGGGGCTGTAGACAGTTGATCCCCTCAGTGAGGACACCCTATCCTTACTTATCTTAGGTTAACTCAGAAAGTGTCAGCCAGGCCAGCTAGTGCACCCCTGTCATCCCAGCACTCAGGAAGCTGGGGCCAGGAGAATCTCTACCTGGAGACTCGAGCTCATGGCAATCCTCCTACCTCAGTCTCCTTGAGTGCTGGAACGACAGGCATGCACCACAAGAGCTGGCTATCACAGAGGGTGTCTTCCACAGCCTCTGGGTTCTGTCCTCGTCCCCCAGCTAACTCTTTCTGTGTGTCCCCACACAGTAGTCCATGCTGTGGACGGCATTGCTGAGAATGGAATCCAGCCACTAAGCTCCTCCGAGGTGGACGAACTCATTCACAAGGCCGATGAGGTCACACTGAGCGAGGTGGGGCCCACAGCTGGGCCACCAGAGCCTCGGGGACTCGCAGAGGATTCCAGCAGGAGCACACCGTCAAGGAGGGAGATCACAGGAGTTGAAGCTCAGCCAGGAGAGGCCACCTCAGGCCCACCGGGCATCCAGCCTGGTCAGGAGCCCCCGGTAACCATGGTCTTCATGGGCTATCAGAATGTGGAAGATGAAGCAGAAACCAAGAAGGTACTGGGCCTGCAGGACACCATCAAGGCTGAACTGGTGGTGATCGAAGATGCAGCCACGCCCAGGGAGCCGGCACCACTCAATGGCAGCGCGGCTGAGCTCCCAGACACCAAGGAAGAGAACCAGACGGGGCTCTCGGCCACCCCCAGCGATGCCCAGGATCTTGACATGAAGAAGCCTCGCTGTAGATGCTGTTCTGTCATGTGAGCCGTCGGGGCGCCCCAGTCCCCGGTCCCGTCCTTCGCTCCACACTCCACCCAGCAGCCCGGCCCTCCCCGGCGCCTGCCCACCCTCACCCTCCGCCTCACGGGCCCCAGACACCTGTGTGTGTGTGGTCCCTGTGCACCTCGAGTCACGGGTGGGGGGTGCTCTGCCCGTCACCACACTCCACACTCACCCCGAACCTCTGAGCCGTGTGTCTTCCCTTGGTGAGAGACAGGCCGACCCACCTCAGATCCCCTAAGGTTGGGGACTCCCAACTCCAAGTCACTGCAGGTTTACACAGACGGCTCATGCCCACCATGGTCTCAACCTGGTGTCCCCTTGTTGCCCCAGGCCAGCCTGTCTGTGCCTTATTGCTACTTTGGGGAGTCTCTGAGGGGACCAAATGAGAGGGTCTCCCTGGCCAATGCGCCAGCAGCCTGGTGTGGGCAGGTGGGGTGAGGCCACACTTCTTTGGAGATCCCGAAGTCTCAAAGTCCTAGGGTGGAGGACAGGCACCTGTGGATTCCCCCAGTAAGTAGGGGTAGCTCAAAATAGGGGTAACCCTTAACTGGGGATGGATACATCACCCCCAAGATGGGGCCATTGTTGGCAAGGCCCCAAATCAGCCACTCCCTGTCTGGGTCCCCCCTACCATGCACACACTGGGCCCTTCTTCCTGGTGCTAATTTAGGGACCCTTGGAGTCACCTTTACCCTCTTCTCTAGTTGGCTTGGACCAGGGTCCTGGGTTTCCCACATACCCCATACCCTAGAAGGCAGGGGTACGGCTGCCAGCGCTGCAGAGCCTAGCATTTCCAGGCAGGTCTAGGTTGCCCCACACACACCTTGGGTGGGAGTAAGGGAATCCCCCATTTGCCGCCTGGCTGGACAGGCGCCATGGCAGGGGGTCACCCACCTGTGGGCAGGCAGCAGCAGCCACTTTGGTTCTGGACGCGCTGCCCTGCATTATAGACGCTGGCTCAACACTCTCCACCTTCACTAGCTTCGGAGGACCACACCCGGTCCAGGTCCCTTTCCTTGGGACTCCAGCCTGGTGTGTAGAGTACAGGACCACCCGTGGGGCCCTGTCACTACCCGAAGCTGCAGTGGGGCACGCAGAAGCCACAGGGTCTGTGTCCTGTCCTTCCTGTGGCCTGGAGGAGAGGCACTGTTCCCTGAGGGGTGACTTGTGGCCATGGTCATGGCACCCCTTCCTCTTCCTCCTCTGAGTCTGCCTGAGTCCCTGGAGCCCTGAGCCTCGGCTGAAGTGCCCTTGCTGCCCCCTTCTGCTTTTGACGTGTGACGAGGCCCTGCCCCTTCACTCCCGTGTTCTTGACTTTCCCAGAGAAACAAATTAAAAAAACAAAAATGTGCAAGTGTTCAGAGCCAGATTGCTGTAGTTCTTGGGTTTCATCTGGGCGGGAAGGGGTGCGGCCATCAGGCGAGGAGGGCGGCCTCCTGGTGGTGGAGCCATAAAAAGGCCAGGCACTGGCCTAGCAGAACACAGGAGAAGCTTCACTCCCCTGTGGCCCACTGCACCCCTCAAGGTGAATCCCTCACTGTGGATCTTCCCAGGACTCTGCGGCACCTGGACAGGTGAGGGGCAGTTGTGGGCGGCCACCCCGAAGGCCTTGGTCTTCACATCTGCCACATTCAAGTCCTGGGGCTTCAAGGTTGGGGATAGAGAGGTAGGTCCCCATAGACACCCCCACAAACTCTGAGCTAGATTCTGAGAGCAGCGGAGACCCCATTTCCTTCTCTGTAGCCTTGGAGAAATTTTCTCCCTTGGTCTCAGTTTCCCTATCTGTAGAAGAGCTGGCTGGGAGTCCTGTGTCCCAGCACACTGGGTATTCCTGGCTTCAGCGAAAAGTCTGTGTAACCTAAGCTGGCCTCAGACTCACAGCAATCCTCCTGCTTCAGTTTCCTGAGAACCGAGATATCAATCTGGGGCCCCTTTGAGACTCAGTTCCCTGTGGAAGGTGGTTTGTAGAGCCTACAATGTGGGGAGAGGGCTACTGGTCCACATACCTCCTGGCCTGTGGGATTGGATATGTCCTCCATTCGATGTCAGCTTCTGCTAAACAGGGATGAAGGGGCCCTGGGAGGAACTGGTGCACCCCGCTCCCTGGTTTTTACCCTCTCCACAGTGGTAGATGGTCTCTGTTACCACATCTGTCAAGTCCTTTTGGAATCAGAGCTGGGGGACCACTGCCTGAAAGGAAGGAAGAAAAGAGAAAATCAGAGAATCAGAGGGGCCCCACAAGCCAACCCTAGGGGAAGGTCGGGATCCCAGCATTATGTCCTCAGGTCCCACAGACTGCCAGAGCCACTTGAACCCAGAGGGTTCTTGGCCATCGCCAACTTCTCATTGCACTGGGCTATCAGCCTCACCTGTCTGACCAATGCTCCTGGGGATTTTGTTTGCTTATTTTTGAGTTTGGGAGACAGATATCACTCTATAGTCAAGGCAGTCTTCAAAATAATAGCAATCCGACAGCCTCAGCCTCATGAGTGCTCGGTGACAGTGCTGTTTCTCTGTACTGGGTACTTCAGAAGGCTTCATATTTCATGTGAAATGTGTGAATGTGACCTGGAGAATTCCCATTTCCTGAATGGGAAAACAAGGCTTACAGGGTCAGGCAGGATTCAGCCCAAAGCCCCACTGACCCCTCCCAGAGAACAGCGACCTGAGACCTTCACCCTGAGTTTCATAATTCCAGCCACAGCAAGTGTGAGGCTGGAAACACCCACATATGTCCCTTGGTCTGCTTGGATCAAAGGGGGTATCCACTGGAAGAGACAGACATTCAAAGGGGTTTCACAAGCTGACTCAGGCTTGGGATTTAGTCTCCCCGTTCCATGGAAGCCACAGTCATTCCTGTGACCCTGGGCAGAGGTAGCCCCCCATCAGCAGGATTGAGAAAGGTGGGGAAGCCAGGCAAAGCCACTTCCTGCTCTATGGGGCCAAGCCCAGCAGCGGGCATGCTGCCCTCCCTCGTCAGCCTGGGTATCGTTTTTCTGTCTTCTCTGGACTTTGTTTCCCGTGTCTGGGTGGGGACGGGGAGGAGGGGTGCACCTGGTCCCGGGTGGGGCCTCTATCGCCTTGGCAACTTGTGGCCAGGGCGGAGCCCTGGGGCCTCCATGCAGAGGACACAGCCTGAGGTTGGGAGGCGGCCTGAGCACCTGGAGCTGGCAGGTGAGGATAGGGAAGCTGGGAGGCCAGAATGGGGAAAGGTGGGGAACTGTTTGTGGTGTACCTACTAGCAGAGTTGGATCGCCCACAGGGAGCCCCAGGGAACCCCCTCCCCAGGCTATACCTCACCACCCTTGATCCTGCCTGGGCCCCACCCCATGTCGTCCTCCTGGATCTGAGAACACGCTCTGTCACCCACTAACCCAAAATAACTCCTAGGCCTATGTGGATAAGACCTTCATCTGCACCCTGAGTCCCAGATCACTGAGAAAGAGGCTGGAACCATAGATATTCTCATAGCCAAAGGGTCTGTAAGGCCCCATGGATTCAGGGCTCGATTTGAAGAAAATAGAAGCGCTGCAGGCTCAGGCAGGTCCAGGGTCTTAGGGTCAAGGGTCAGCTTTGGACTGGTTTCCCCAGGGCCAGCTATCCAGGTGACAAGAAGCCCTCAGGGAGAGGACAGAGGACTCCTAAGGACACCACCCTACTAGGTGACCCACTGCCCCCACCAGGAGCCTTTGCCCTGTGGGTAGGAGGCCAGAGCAAGCAGGTGTGCCTACAGGGACCATAAACCCGGTTTCTATAGGGAGCCACAGTTCCAGGGTGCGGCTGAGTGGAGCAGGCTTCCGGGAGGAGGTCATAGTTTGGAAAGAATGGGCTTTGTCAGCTGTGTGAACTTCCAGCTTCACCTCTGTTCCCTTCAGGGCAGAGACAAAATTGGCCCCCTTGTCCTTGAATAGGACATTGATGTGTGAGGTAATTGGTGGACAAGGACTAACAACAGACCCCTGTGGGGAGCTAAGGACCCTGAAGGGGCCCTTTGTCCCCACCAGAGCTTCTGCAGACTGGCCACCAACTCTGTCTCTCCAACTCTAAGCATTGGCTCCTTAGGAGACATGGAGACGCCTGCTGGATTTGGAATTTCATTGATCAGATCTAAAGCCACTATGAAACATCTATTGAGTGCTTACTGTATACAGGCACAGAGAGCTAAATTTGTTGTTGTTGTTGTTGATACCGTTTTTTTTTTTTTTTTTTTTTTTTTTTTTTTTTTTTTTTTTGGTTTTTGAGACAGGGTCTCTCTATGTAGCCCTAGCTGGCCTAGAACTCACAGAGATCCTCCTGCCTATGTATCCCAAGTGCTGGGGTTAAAGGAGTAGGCCACTACACCCAGCAGAACTTGGTTTTATAGACCCTTGACAAGGCTGTCCTGCCAGCCCAGTTAGTAACATAGAGAGCTGAATCCCAACCCAGAGCTCCACCCTCTGACCTGAATCACTGGGGAAGAATGAGGCCCCCACCCTAGGGACGGAGGTCATGTCTGACTGTCCATGACAAGGGCCATAAAATTCTGTGTTCACATCGGTCAACGCGCAAATATGAGTGGCAGCAGCTTTGGGCTAGGAGATGGGAGACAGCACCATGCACCAGGAGCCTTTGCCCTGTGGGTAGGAGGCCAGAGCAAGCATTGAACCAGTCTTTATTAAGTGTTTGCTGTATGCATTAGAAATACCCACCCACACAGAATGGAATCATCCCGTTCTCTGAGGCACTGTGAGGGGAGAGCACAATGTGGGCAGTACAGGGGGTGCTCTCCCACAGGAGGACAGCCTGGCCACTCTACTTCAAAATACAACATAAGAATGGCTACAGACAGGACTCGGGTAGAGCCCCGCCTAGACTCCCCCAGCGAGGGGCTGGGGGCATGGTTCACCTGTGCACACTTGCTGAGCTTGGTGACCCTCTGGGTGCAGAGTCAGGTTGTGGCCTTGAGCACTGAGAGCAGCTGTGGGGTGGCATTGCAGACTTCAGGAGACTGAAGAAACAAAAATGAAAGCATGTGTGAGTGCGGGGGGAGGGGGGGAGCTGAACCCCAGATACTAGGTCAGGATGTCATCTACGGCTCTGAGCCCTACCCAGGCCCAGGGACAAGGTCCAAGGCACTCCTAGTTCTTCTTGGTTTTATGGTGCTGTGAAGATGGTACCGGGTGCTCTTGGGGGCAGAGATCCAGGTGTGTAAGCTGGGAAATGAACTTTGCTACATTCTCTGAGCCTCAGTTTCCCCACTTGGCATCATCAGTCTCCAAGAAACAGAGCCCAGCGGCTGTCTGTGAAGGTCAAGTGCAAAGACAGCAGATAAGTTCCCATCTGGAAATTAGTGTGAGGGTTAGGGTTGTGCCCAGGGATAGGAAGACGTCCACGGTGGGAGATGGGAGACCTGCAGAGTCTCAGGGGTGACGCTGGCCTTGATTCGGGTAGGGGCAGGCAGGATGGAGCCACCACTCGGCCCACAGGCTGTTTAGATGAGTAGGAGGTTGTGCCCCCAAGACTCAGCTGGAAGCTGTGTGTGATGGCATATGCCTGTTATCCCCACAGTCAGGTGGCTGAGGCAGGAGGATTGTTACAAGTTCTGGCACAGCCTGGGCTACAGAGTGAGAGCATGTCTCAGGAAGAAAGAAAATACAGGACTGGAGAGATGGCTTAGCGATTAAGAGCACTGACTGCCCTTCAAGAGGTCCAGTGTTCAATTCTCAGCAACCACATGGTGGCTCACAACCATCTGTAATGAGATTTGATGCCCTCTTGTGGTGGGCAGGGACACATGCAGACAGAATACTGTATTCGTAGTAAATAAATCTTAAAAAGAAAGAAAGAAAGAAAATACAGAGATTAGAAAGAAAATATGTTTATTGTATGAGGCAGAGGTACTTAAGGATTTAGGTACAGTTTGATCTAGGAACTCAGATGTTTTGGGGCGATGCCATGCTGGAGTCGGGATTGCTTTCAAGAAGCGTTGCCTGTCAGGGAGTCTCCTGCAGCGCCCCCCCCCCACCGCCCAAGCTGTCCCTGTGTCACTAGATGGTCTGACTTGGTGTCCTTCTCCTCCCTAAGTGAGCCTGGAGATCTCCAACCCCAGGGAGAAAGGTCACACCCAGACCCCTTGAGATGGATCGAGTGACCAGATATCCCATCTTCAGCAACCACCATGCAGCACGTGTCACCAGCTTGGTGCTGGATGACAACTCCAGCTACACCGTCAGGCTGGTGGGTGTTGGGCCAGAGGTCGGTTGGAGCCAGGACGATCAGCAGGCCTGGTCCACTGAGTACCAGACCAAGCCAGATGTGAAGAGAACAAGTGTGTCCTCCACCAGACGAGTCTTTCTCAACCAGCCGTCCCCAAGGTCACTGTACTCAGAGGATGAGGATGAAGAGATGAAGGCATACCACCTGGATACCAGTGATGCCCTCTACAGTCAACCTAGGGACCTGGAGGCCGAGCGCTGGGCAGTCATCCACAACCAGGCCATCAGGAAGGGTGGCACAGTGGCCACACTCCAGGGAGAGCCCAGGCCGGCTGGCCAGCCTCGGTCCACGTCCACTGAAGAGATCTTGGTGGACACAGAGCAAATTGATTTCCTGGCTGCTCGACAGCAATTCCTGAGTTTGGAGAAGGTGAACACGAACCCAGTTACTTGGAGCCCCACAGCCAGGGAGAGCTTTGTGCATACCCCACTAGGGGTCAGCCAGGCCCCCAAGGCCTCTACTAGGCCCCACCTAGCTAACGGCTATGCGGCTCCTGTCATGTCACCAGTGAAGGAGTTGACGTTACAGAAGAAGACTGCTCATGTTTCCCCAGCTGGGTCCATTCGTGCAGCCAACGACCCTGGCCACTGGACCCGAGCAGAGTCCCCCGAGACCTCCAAAGAGACGCCCATCGAGAGAGAGATCAGACTGGCCCAGGAGCGTGAGGCAGAGCTGCGGGAGCAGAGAGGGCTTGGGCGGGTTGCTGGGCATCAAGAGCTGGTTCAGATCCCCAGCAGGCCACTGCTCAACAAGGTGAGCCTGACAGAGCTACCCTCGCGCAGAGAGAGGGGCCGGCCGTCACTCTACGTGCAGAGGGACATGGTGCAGGAGACACAGCGGGAAGAAGACCACCGCCGGGAGGGGCTGCAGGTGGGCAGGGCGGCCACACCCGACTGGACCTCCCAGGACCCTCAGCCTGGACTCCAGAGAAGCCTGAGCTCCGACTGCATCCTCAGCCCAGATGCCCGAGCCACAGACCCGGCTCCAGAGACAAGAAAGGTCAACCGGATCCCACCGGACGCCTACCAGCCATATCTGGGCCCCGGGACCCCTAAACTGGAATTCTCGGCCTTTGGAGTATACAGCAAGCCAAATGGTGTCTCCACAGAGGACACCAAAGCCATGGAGTTCCAGAAGGCCGCAGGATCTCCAAGGCATGTCTCAGAATACTCTGGAAGTTCTCCGAGCTCAAAACAAGCGCGCTCGAAGCCCCCTGAGAAGCCCCAGCACGGCAGTGTGGGTATCGTGCAATTAGAGAATTTCCACCTGCGTCCACTGCGGTTCAGCGTCCCAGATGTCCCTCAGCAGGCCGAGACCTCCCATACCTGGGGTTGGGAGGAGGCCGGGGGACCAGTGTTGAAGCTACACAGGTCACAGTCTTCTGACCTGCTGGAAAGGGAGATGGAGAACGTCCTGCGGAGGGAACGAGAGGTGGCTGAAGAGCGGAGGAATGCCTTCTTCCCAGAGGTGTTCTCCCCGGTGCAGGATCAGGATGAGCAAGACTCCCGGAGTTCCTCCCGGGCATCTGGTGAGCAAGGATTCTGTCCTGAGGTCTCAGGGTTGGAGGAGGAGAGTCGAAGGCAGAGTTTAAAACACACTCATTTCTCCCAGAAAGTAGTTTCTGGTGAGACAATGGCACCTTTGCTTTAGAGTTTTTGAGTGCTGTTGTTGGGTGCTTAGGATTTTGCTTTACGGTTTTGAATGCTCTGTTATTGGTCCCATATAAGTTTGCAACTATTCATCTCCTTGATTCATTGCTCCTCTGTTAATGACATATTCTCCATCTCACTTCACAGTATTTTTGGCCCATTGTCTGCCTAAAATCTCTCCCCGGTGTCTCTTTCAGCCAATGTGTCACCATGAGTTGCCTGTCTGTCTGTCTGTTCATCTGTTCCCCATAAACCTTCCAGACTCTTGCCTAGAGACCTCGAGTCTCCTGGCCTGAGTGCTGATAAACAGACTACCCCATCTGCCCCGCCACAGGCATCACTGGCAGCTATTCAGTGTCAGAATCACCATTATTCACCCCCATCCAACTGCACTCGGGCCTGGTGTGGAAGGTGCAGGCCCCTAACGACGGTGCTTCGGGACAGAGGACTAAAAGGGAGACTCGGGTGAGTTGAATTGACAGAGGTGGAACTGTCCACTACCCATGGGTTCAGGCAAGGTCAATAGACTGGGTGTTTCTCCTAGTCCCTGGTTTCTAGTCTGGGAGGACACATAAGCAAAGGACATTGTCCTTATTGTGGGGTCACCTTCAGGGTCAAAGGCCAAAGGTTGATGAAGAAGAAAACAGACACTGATTGGTCATTACCACCATTTTGTTTTTATTTTTTGAGACAGAATCTCACTCTGTAGACCAGGCTGGTCTCGAACTCACAGAGATCCTTCTGCCTCAGCCTCCCGAGTGCTGGGGTTAAAGCCTTGTGCTGCTGTGCACAACACCAAGATTTTCTTTCTTGTTTTTAATTTTTATTTTTGAGACAGGGTTTCTCTGTGTAGCTCTGGCTGTCCTGGAACTCTGTAGACCAGGCTGGCCTCGAACTCAGAGATCCACCTACCTCTGCCTCCCGAGTGCTGGGATTAAAGGTGTGTGCCACCACAGCTTGGTACCATTATTTTTATAAGGTGTGTGTGTGGTGTGTGTGTGTGTGTGTGTGTGTGTGTGTGTGTGTATAACCAAAATGCCACTGTGCACTTCACTGTGTGAAGATCAGGTGACAACTTCCGGTTTGGTCTCTCATTTTCCTTCTTTGAGACTGGGTCTCTTTGCTGCTGTGTGACCAGGCTCCCTGGCCCAGCACTTTCAGGGACTCTCCTGTCTCTGCCTCCCACCCCCCTCAGAACAATGGGATCATTTTCAGCTTCACATGGATTCTGAGGGTTAGAACTCAGGTCCTCTCACTTTCAAGGCAGGTGTCTCACCCCCTGAACCATCTCCCTGGCCCCCACACCGTGCTGGCAGGCTGTACAGAAATCACACCTTCAGCATCTTTAGGGTCACATACATCTATGGCTACCAAGTTCACAAAACCTGCCTGATTTCAAGTATAGTTACTGGGGCCATGCTGGGAGGTCCAAGGGACACCACAGAGACCAGCACGCATCTGAGCCTATCCACCTGGTCTCACAGCCTGACCCACCATGGTGTGTGACACAGATGGGCCAATGACCCAGATTCAAGGACGGGCAGGTCGTGGCCCCACTGTTACCCTCAGCATCCTCTGGAAGATCAGCATGATGATGACTATGAGAGTTCCCCTGTAGACTGCTGTCCATGTGCTGGGCCTGTCACAGGCGGGCGTGGTGCGTATCACTGTGATACACTGGACACTGTTGGCCAGAGGCTGCCTGGAGTGGAAGTAGGTGTGGTAGGACAGCATGGCACATGGCCTTGAGTTTGGCAACCATGAGACTCTAGGGGAGCACCAGCAGCTGGGCTCCTCTCCCCACCTGGCCCTAAGGGGGTGATTCAGCTATGTGAGGACTTTGAGGTGGGCGCAGAGCCTGGGCAGAGAGGATGAACACTGATTCTTGTTCTTGTCATGCAGTATGCCGGTATCAAGCCCTCAGACCGTGTCAACTCAGAGGTGAGTGAGGTCCAGACAGAAAGGACTTAGTCTGTCCCTTCCTGTATATACCCCGACCATAGCGCTGGTCACTGAGCCTTTCTTCTGATGTGAGACTGCATCGGCTATCTGCTTTGCTAGTAGAGTCTTCCTGGGGTAGATTGTGCTGTGGTCGGTTTGTGATGCCTGCCACAGGCACAGATTATAGCCAAAAGGTCTGTGTGAGGCTTTTTTTTTTTTTTTAACCAGAAGACACAGATTTCAACAAGTAGAGCACAAATAAGCTTTATTTATTATTGTTGTTGTGACTGTTATTGATAGTCTCACTATGTAGCCCTGGCTGTCCTGGAACTTGCTATGTAAATCAAGGTGGCCTTGAACATATTGTTCAAAGGAGAGAGTGTGAAACAGAGGAGGGAGTCTCACCTCAGCTCTGTGCCAGGCCCTCCTGCACACTGGCAATGGGGAGGCAGCTGGGAGTGGTTCATATCTCCACGGGACACCACGCCTTCTTGTATGCAGGTCCTGGGAGCCACACGGGTAACAAGACACAGGAACATCTTGGCAGAACGCTGGGAAGCAGGCATCTATGCCAATGAGGATGAAGACTGAGACTAGAAATGGGGACATCCATTTCCCTCTGTCCAACCCCAGACTCGTGGAAGCTGCCAGACCTGCCCAAGCCTCTGCAGTCAGTGGTAAACAAGTCCCTATCTAAGCAAATGGCTGGAGAACCTGGCTTCTCACTCGCCCAGGCTGATGTTTTCCTGGGTAGGAGAGTTCCCTGCTTAGGGGTGGCTCTCAGCTAGGGCTAAAATGGTAATTTCCCCAGGTCTCTGTGTACCTGAGACTTTGCCAGATGCTCTAGGGTCCAAGGAGGGAACCAGACTGCCTACCTCGGAATGAAATTTCCTTGGAGCAGTGGGTACAGGGCTCCACTTACATCCCTCAGCCTCTGTGCAAGGTGCACCAAAGGGTGCAGAGCCCAGATCTGTCACCCGACGGAAAGAGGCCTCCATTTAGGGACCTGCCACTCCAGTCTTGCCAACCCCAGACTTGTCCTTGTTGCTATGAAATAAACTTGTCATGAACTGCCTGCCTGGAGTAAAGAATGCACCACACACAGCCCCTGTCCTCTGTCCACCCCTTTCATCTTGGTGACATCAGCCCTGTCCCCCCAGGACATGAATTTCAATTGGACCAAGGTCCTGGGAGTTTGTTTGTGAAAAGCTGGGCACATAGGGCTGGGAGGCTTCTGTAGTGAAGGTGACAGAGGTGTGGTTTTTTTTGTTTTTTTTTTTTGTTTTTTTTTTTTTTGGTTTTCCGAGACAGGGTTTCTCTGTGTAGCTTTGGAGCCTGTTCTGGCACTTGCTCTGGAGACCAGGCTGGCCTTGAACTCACAGAGATCCACCTGCCTCTGCCTCCCGAGTGCTGGGATTAAAGTTGTGCGCCACCAATGTCCAATGAGGCGTGTTCTTAGACAGAGAAGAAAGGGCTTAAGTAAGGCCATTGGGGAGACATCTGAAAAAGGTGGGGTGCTGTATCAGTCAGGGTTCTCTAGAGTAACAGACCTTACAGAATGAGCATACATACATACACACATACACAGAAAGAGGATTTATCAGAATGATGCACAGAAAGTCTAAGAGTCCAGCAGTTGCTCAGTCCATGAGGCTGGGTATCTCTGCTGTCATCAGTACACACTGGAACCCTGAAGTAGACTAATTCCAGTGAAGGGATGCATGTGCCAGCAAGGCCAGGGCAAGCAGGCCAAGGCGAGAGTGTCCTCTGCCTCTTCTATAGGCTTCTAGCAGACGGTGTGGCTCAGATTAAAGGTGTCTTCCTGCCTCACAGGTCCAGAATAGAAGTGGATTCAACCACTTCAAACCAAGCAAAAACAAAAAAAACAAACCAATACAGCAACAAAAACCTCTCACAGGTGTGCCCTCCATTTCTTGATTGCTTTTTTGCTTGTTTGTTTTGTTTTGTTTTTCGAGACAGGGTTGCTCTGTGTAGCTCTGGCTGTCCTGGAACTCACTCTGTAGACCACGCTGGTCTTGAACTCACAGAGATCCTCCTGCCTCTGCCTCCTGAGTCCTGGGATCAAAGGTGTGTGCCACCACCGCTCAGCTGCATTACTGGGTTGTAGTTCATTCCAGATGTAGTCAGGCTGAGAGCCAAGAGCAGCCATGACAGGTGCCGTGGCCAAGTCCCCTCTGCAGGGGACAACCTGTGTAACTGTCCCAGGTGGCCCTAAGAGAAGCCATAGATGAACAGTGAAGGTGGTGCTCTGCAAGGCCCCCTGGGAACAGATGGAGACAGTTAAACTCTGGGGGTCCCTCTTGGTAGCTGTCGATGGCAGATATTTGAAGGTCTGTATCTCTAAGGTTCCTACGTGAGGTGCATGGAAGATGTGTAGGTAGGCCCCAGACTGGATCATCCCGAGTGGGCTAGGAGTGGGGTGGGTGATGGAGTACAGCATCTGGGCAGAGGCAGCCTGAGAGAGCAGGTCAGCCTCTTCCCACAGGGTCAGTGTGGGAAGGTCCTATACCCCTTGGCCTGTGACTCTGTCCCCCATCTCCAGATTCAGCAGCATGGTGTCTCCCTATCTCTTTGCCTCTGACCCTCCTCCCCCACCCGCCTCCCTCTGGGGACCCTGTGTTGACACTGAGCTGGGAATGATCCAAGATGTCCCCATGATCAGGGTCTTCAATTTGAGCCATCTTCAGGGTCCCTTCTACCACAGAAGGTGACAGGGCCCCAGCACCCAGGGCTTTTCTGGTGGAAGTCTCTGGAACCTTCAGTAGGGTATCAGGACACCCCTCTTTTTCATCAATCAACGATCACCTTCACTTAGACTCTCTGTGATGGGCTGGGGAGGTGGTTCAGTGGGCAAAGGGCTTGACGCACACACAAGAGTGGGGACCCGTGTGTGGATGCCCAGACCTGTGTAAATGTCATCTCCTCTGTCACCCTCACACAGAGGAGCCAAGTCAGCTGGCCAGCTGGACTAGTCAGATCCATGAACACTGGATTCACAAGGGACGCTGTGTCGGTATACAAGGTGGAGAGCCATCAAGGAAAACAATCTGGTTTCCACAAGCACACACACCTGCACACACACACACACAAGAAACATGCATGCACACTCATGTGCACACATAAAAAAAAGAAAAGCCCCTCCCAGGTCTGGTGCATGAGTCACCCTTGCACAGGGCACTTGGCCAAGGCTGTGGTGTTAGACTCACAAGTGTCTAGAACCTCACACAGCCCTCCACAGAGGTTCTCTCTCCACATGCCACAGGGAGATATTCCAGCTCTCCAGGCTTCAGCAGCACGTCCCAGAAGCCTTAAGGGCACAGAGGCTCCTGAGTGCCACCTCCTGTCTGGAGATGTCACAGGCCTGGCTCAGGCCACAGCTTCATCCCCCTCGATGAACACAGGGTACATAGGGCTGGGTCACCTGTCACCCTCCAGTCCAGGAGAAAGCCTGTCTCCATCCCGAATCCTCTCCCTCTGCCTCCCTGTCTCTCACCTCTGTCTCTGTCTCCCAATTTTGTGCTCTTTGTGTGTCTCCAGCCCTAGGACGTTACCTTTCCTCCCATCCTGGCACCTGTGGCTCAGGTCTGATGCTGCCTCCATCTAGGGTGGCCCCGGGCCTTTGATCCGAAGCCCCACGCTGCATTCCACACGTGACTGAAGCCCCCCTCACAGGTTCAGGCCTGTGCTTCTCTGCAGGGCCTAAGGGACACAGCCACTCTGAGAAGGCCAAGCACAAACAGGAAACTGAGGACTCAAGGCCCTGGGTCTCCTCTGGGGCAAACTTAGGTCTTTGGGACTGTCTGAGGCTGGAGTGTTTTCTCACCTCTAATTAAGAGCAAAACCAGGGGGAGGGAGCTAGGAGAATGAGAAGGGAAGAAGAGGAGGGATGCAGAGGACATGAGGGAGCAGAAAGATTGAGTCAGGGGAAGAATAGAAGATAACAAGAATGGAGATACCGGGGCTGGAGAGATGGCTCAGAGGTTAAGAGCACAGACTGCTATTTCATAGGTCCTGAGTTCAATTCCCAGCAACCACATAGTGGCTCACATCCATCTACAGTGAGATCAGGTGCCCTCTTCTGGTGTGCAGATACACATGGAAGCAGAATGTTGTATCCATAATAAATAAATAAAATCTTTAAAAAAATTACATAAGTAAATCTTTAAAAAAAGAATGGAGCCGGGCGGTGGTGGCGCACGCCTTTGATCCCAGCACTCGGGAGGCAGAGGCAGTAGGATTTCTGTGAGTTTGAGACCAGCCTGTTCTACAAGAGCTAGTTCCAGGATAGCTCCAAAGCCACAGAGAAACCCTGTCTTGGAAAACCAAAAAAAAAAAGAATGGAAAAAAAAGAAAATAGAAGAGGGATTTTAGGGGAGAAGAAGAGGACAGGAGGGCAGAGGGAGAAGAAAGGACAATAATAGAATGAATGTGACCACATGGACATCAGAGTCGTGTACAAAAATGTCAAAATTAGGCCTGTTGTTTTATAAAGTTAATATTAATAAAAATATTATTAAAAATTTAAAAAAAGAATGGAGATACCATAATAGAGGGGGACATTTCAGGTTTACAGAGAAATCAGGCACTAGGGAAATGTCTGGAGATCTACAAAGATGACACCAGCAAACAGTCTAAGCAACAGGGGAGAGGCTACCTTAAATGCCTTCCCCTGATAATGAGATTGACGACCGACTTATATGCCACCCGACAGCCCTCATCCAGCAGCTGGTGGAAGTAGAAGCAGACACCCACAACTAATCACTGAACTGAACTGGAATCCAGATGCAGAGAAGGACGAGTGAAGAGCACAGGGGTCCAACCCAGGCTGGTGAACCCCACAGAAACAGCTGACATGAACATCGGGGAACTCTTGCTCCCCAGACTGATAGCTGGGAAACCAGCATGGGACTGATCCAGACCCAGGAACCTGGGAGGAAACCTCATAAATCTACAGGACCTCCTGTAGTAGTTCAGTATTTATCCCTAGCATAGGTGTGGACTTTGGGAGGCCAATCCACATAGAGGGATGCTCCCTGAGCCAAGACACACGGGGGGGGGGGGGGGGGCGCTAGGCCCTATCCCAAAGAATATGATAGAATCTGATGACACCTATGGAAGGCCTCACCATCCAGGGGGAGCAGAAAGGGTATGTGATAGGTAGGGTTTTAGTTGGGGGGGGGAACGGTAGGGGAGGACGGGAGGGAGTGGGAACTGGGATTGTCATGTAAAACAATCTTGATTCTAATTCAAATTAAAAAATCTGCAAAACAAAAAGAGCAAAACCTGTGTGATCCCATGTCATATCTACTAATTCTGTAATAATAAAGGAAATCCCAACCCATGAGCATCACTAGCATGCCTTATGTACCAGACTTTTACATTTGGGCCACCAGCCAGCTCCCAAATCATGACAGGGAGACTTATTATTAGTTATGAATGCTCAGTCTAGCTTAGGCTCTTTTCTGGCTACCTCTTTTAACTTAAAATAATCTCTCTCTCTCTCTCTCTCTCTCTCTCTCTCTCTCTCTCCCTCCCTCTCTCTCTCTCCCTCTCCTGGAACTCTGTAGACCAAGCTGGCCTCAAACTCACAGCCCTCCAGCCCCACCCATCCTTCTCCTGTCTCACTACTTACTGGCTGTTCAGCTCTTTACTAGACCAATGAGGTCCCTAATTAGGCAGGCAGGTGAAACAAATGTCGCCCGCCCCTACACCATTAAGGTAATATTCTGCAGCATAAATACGTATAACACATCACTGCCTAGTTAAAATAATATTCCACACCAGCTTACGTGAAACCCTCGATGTCTGAAGTATGCCCCAGGTGGGCTCCGGAGATCAAAGAGGATCACAGAGCAGTCAGTGGCTGGACGCATGAGGACTGAAGTTGGATGTGGAAACAAACAGTCTTTTGAAAGAAAAAGACAACGCAACCAAAACAACTCAAACTGGCTTTGGCTAAACCAGGATTTATTGGTTGTAACCAGAAAGTTAAAGTAAACTCAGCTTCAGGCTAAGCTGAATCCACACTCCCACTTCTTGTCCCCTATC